TAATTTACTTTAAAATAAAAAAAAAAAAAAAGTAAAAAAAATATTTAAATTTAATATATATATATAACGCTCGAAAAAATTACTGAATCACGTGAATTCATACTTTAAAATGGATCGCATGTGTCCAAAACACATATGAAAAAATGTTTTGTTCTTTTGTTTTTGTTTTTTGTTTTTTTTTTTGCGGGGGGGGGGGGGGGGAGAAAAAGAGATAAAAATAAAAACAGGGGCTGGTTAGGGTTGTGAAAATTAAAGCTACTGTTTAGTAATCATTCATTTATACTTCAATTTAGCTTTCTATTGCTTTATTTATACTTCGGCTTTCTTGATGCTTCATATTTCAGTTACAGCTCTGTTTTTTTTTTATTGTCAGCATACTTTTTTTTTAAACTCTGATCAAGGAAATTATGCCTGCCTGTATTTTTGTAACTTACAATAATGCAAATCACACTCAAATTATGTTTCCCCAACAGAAAATCATTTTGGCTACATCAGGAAGGATTCATATTAGATGATTAATTTATTAGTGTTATAGTGACTACCTAAACGAATAAAATCACCATTCCAGGCTAAAACTCTAACAACAACATACCCAGTATAATCCCACAAAGTGGAGTTTGAGGATGGTAGAGTGTATGCAAACCTTACTCCTACAAAAGTATGCTAACACACTAACAAGGATAATTAATTTCAGAATGATGATATCTGCAAAAGAAATATTTGACTGCTAAGCCATAAAAAGAGAAAGACCAAACTTATCTGGTATGGTACATAAGCCATCCTTGTTTTGAATATGTAAATAACAGTGGAAAAAAAGGAAAAAACATAAAAGATACTCAAGCAGCAGGGCAGGCCCGATTGAAAACGCTTGCCGAGTGGGTTAAATTTTGTGGGCTAAGGCCTAACCACCCCCCCCCCCACACACTGCCGCCCCATCTCTACATCTCTTTAAGTTTGAAAATCACAGCTTCTCTATCATTAGCATGAGAAACTATGGCCTATATAGATTGGATTAGATCACCCAATTTAATAAGCATGTCTAATTATTCAGTTCTATAATCAGAATTAAGTTCCATTATTGTTTAGGATTGCCTTTTCTGTAAAATGACTAACATCTTAGTGAAACTTATTTATTTAATTATCCAACTATTTATTCTAAACCAAAATCAGTTAGAGAATTATAAACCAAACAGGCCATGACATCTCTTTAATTATGTCATGCTACTAAGCTGAAGTTTTACACACAAATACACCAAATAAATCTTTTTGACAGTTTAGTTCGCAGCATTAAATGAACAATTGTTACATAAACTCCTCAACATGCAAAGACACAGAAATTTATCTGAATCTTCCTGGATTAAGAAATAAATACATACCGCTATTATATGGTAAGATTGCTTATGATAGCCCTTTTTACCAGCATAAAGACCAATTTTTTGAAGCAAACAAGCTGCCTCGAGATACTCGAGATCTTTATCCTCCAAGGATACAAAGAATCCATCAGAACCATTGCCTGATTCATACCCTTTTCTCAAACCATCAAACATCTCCTACATCATGAACATTAACAAAGTCATCTCAAAACGATATTTCTACCCTAAAAATATGGAACAAGAGATGGTGAACTTCTTATTGTATCCCATTCCGAATTATCAAATACCTTGGCAACACTAAAGCATAATGCAGCAGATTTCATGTGTTGCTTGTTATTAAACCTTGTCGCGAGCCTCGTTACAGACCTCCACCTCGCATTCGCCCTTGGATCATAATTATCAAAAACCTCCCCTAACTTCTCTGCAATCACACCCTCACCTAATGCATACCCAGAAACCTCCATCTCCTCAATCTTAAGCTCCTCAAATATTTCCTCCAATAAAACTGCCCCTGCCACAATAAATTCTGACCTCTTCTTGAAAAAGCCTTGCGTTCGAACCTTCCCTCCAACTCTTCTCTCTTCCTCACTCAACCTCTCCACTAAGCCCTTCAATTCGTCCGTTGTAAAACTCCAATCCCTCCTACTTTCCTCAGATATGCCCACATTTCCCTCCATATTGCTTGCATAGCCACGGAAAATAGCCTTTTCAATATTCCTAATTGTCCCTGATGAACCAATCACTTTATCAATATTATAATGCTTAACCTTCTCATTTAAGCCCGAGGCACGGATTATAACCTTAATATGTTCCCGCATTTCTGTAACTTTTGGAAATTTTTGAGTTAAAGTGACATGTCCCAATGCTAGTGAAATAGAGAACAAAATCTGCCCCTCTTTGCCAATTACAAACTCTGTAGAGCCACCTCCAATGTCAATTGTGAGAACTGTATAGTCATGAACAGGATGGAATTGAAGTATACCTTTGTATATAAGGCGGGCCTCTTCGAGACCGGAGAGTACATCAACTTTCAGGCCTAGGGTTTCATCAATCGTTTGAAGGAATTGTGATCGATTGGAAGCTTCTCGAACAGCAGAAGTAGCTACGAAGCGAGAATGGGAGGAAGGAACGCGATGTGACTGGAGAAGCTTCTGAAACTTTCGAAGTGCTGCGGTGGCACGTAGCAGAGAGGCGTTGGAGATAGTGGCGGAGGTAGTGGTGGTATTAGTATCAAGGCCGAGGAGGACTCTTTCCTTGAACCGATCGACGGTGAGGAAACGGCCGGTGGAAGGGTCGGCGCGAACTACGAGGAGCTTGAAGGAGTTAGTACCGATGTCTACGGCGGCGAAGAGGTTCTCACTAGTGGCATTCCTGGCGGGAATTGAGATTGCGTTGGGAAGAATTGGGAGATTTGCCGACATCTATTCCGGCGACGATTGATGTATGACAATTGTGGATGGTTTCTTCTTTGCTTCTTTACGATTGCTTTACTTTCTCATTTTGTTTTTTTTTATTTTTAACTTGCTATTTCATACCTTTGTTTTATCATTGCTCTACTTCAGTCTTCATATCCCACTTTTCAATAGAATTATTCTTTATATTATTGATGTGTAATATTATGTAACAATAAAAAAATAATACAATTTATTTAAACCTTAAATTTGTTCAAAACGATATAATCTATTTAAACATTGTATTCATTCAAAACAGTATAACACAATATCATCCATACAAAGAGTATTATAGTAAATTAAATACAGAACTTACATAAACAAATTAAAGAACATTAACAGGTACCAAATTCTAATTGATTTAGAATTAGCACTATTGGTTTAAATCCTAATAAAATGAAAGTCTCCTTGTTAAGAGTATATTGCCAAAGGTATATACTCCTTAACATATTTCATTTTGGTAGAAAAAAAGATTTTCGAAACAATAAAATTACATGGCTACTACTTTTAACATATTGTGGAACTTTAAAAAATGGAAAACATAAGAAATGTCACATACAGTTCTTCAGGGAATCACCAGCACCCTGGAAGAAACAACATGAGAGAGCAAAGTCCGCTACGAATATGCCAACAAGAGATAAAACTACCGCTGAAGTAGTAGACTCTCCAACCCCTTTAGCACCTCCCAGTGTGGTGACTCCCCAAGCACAGCTTATGATGGATATAATAGCACCAAAAACCTGTGACTTAATCATCGCACTGATAAGGTCCCATGACTTGAGAGCTCTCTGAGCAGAATCCAAGATTATGTTTATGCTAATTCCATAAACACCGTCAGCTAAAAGGGCGCTGGATGCCATTCCAACTGTAAAGCACATTAGGGTCAAAAATGGTAAGGCAATGCAGGAAGCAATCACTCTTGGTGTCACCAAATAATCAACAGGATTTGCACCGAGAACTCTCAACGTGTCTGTCTGCTCAGATACCTGCATGGTGCCCAGTTCCGCAGCAAATGCACTACCGATACGCCCGGCAACTACAATTGATGTGACAACTGGACTTAACTCTCTTGAAAAGGCAAGGGCCAACACCCCACCAACAGATCTATTTAACCCTAATCTAGTGAATTCTCTAACAAATTGGATAGTGAAGGCCATGCCAACAAAAGCTGCAGTTAACAAACAGACACCAACTGACTTAGGTCCAACTCTTTCCAACTGTTGAAGAGTATTCTTCCAGTGGATTTTACCCTTCATAATCCTAATAATAACCTGTCCTGCCAAGATAAGAACTGATAATCCCCTCCATAAGTACCTGGGAGGCGACCACTTACTCAAGAACGCTTCTCCTCCATATTCCCATTCTTCCATTGTAGATGTGTCTTTTTTAGATGCAGTTGTGTCCTCTTCAGAAACAGAGAGACTTGGATAACTATCATTAGAGTTGGGAATCACACAGAACCTTTTCGGTTTGGAAGATTTTAAAATCTTCTGGATCTGAGCTCCTTGATTAAAGTCAAATTTCTGGGGAAGCCAATTCAAGCTCCTCAAAATTTTTACACTTGAGTGATTACTCACCTTACTATACCTGCCTCTGCAATCCATGAGAAACTAATGTGAGTTAATCTAAGTGGCTCAGTATTTTTTAGAAATTCACGTCAGAAACCATGCATGGTAAACAGAAGTTGAATATAAATGCATCAAGTTACATGTTATGCCTATATACAGATTATTGCAAGTACATATACACTTTTTACTAATATATAAATGCAATCCAAGAGGCAAAGAGAGAGACCTTCCAGAAAAGTGAACAAGAGGATAGCAATGAGAAGCTGCTTGCATGTTGGTCTTAGATTACGTGAAATCTTGGTCTTTTATGTCCCTCTCAGCACAAGAAGAAGACCTGCTATAAGAAAAAGAAGCGAAAATCATTCCAAATGTAGAATCTCAACCTCAAGGAGAACATATTTTATGTAAGAGATTTGCAACAAAGCAAATAGATGGTATCTGTGACATTTAAGACATTTGATGTAGAAATCTGAGACATCAGAACTACAGAGTTGAGCAAATATCTTCTTTTTTCTCATCAGAAACTAACAGAGTCGAGCAAGTATCTTCTTATATGTCATCAGGAACATTATATCCATGAACGGAAACCCTCCCTGACAAAGTGCACAAGGTTCGGGTAAGCTTTTTGGCACTTTGCCCCTCTACTAATTCTATGGCACTCCGACCTTTAAAGGTATAAAAATACCCTCACTAAAGATGGTCAAAATAAAATGACAGGATAAGTTAATGGGTAACTTTCACGTGCCCTTTGAAGGCATATTCATCAATCTTAACAGAAAGAAAGCATATAAAAAAGTATATATACTACTAACGACGTCCCTCATACCACCCCAGTCCCCATATTTATAGTGAAGCACATCTTTTCGCATCCTAGAAGGTGCTTCTTGTGCTCCTCACCACATCATAGTGAAGCACGTCTTTTCGCATCCTAGAAGATGCTCCTTGTGCTCCTCGCCACATCACGCCTGAAGGTTTTTCCATTTCCTTAATCATTGGTTACCAGAAAAGCTTTTCTTCCTTTAAATATTTGGATAACAAAATACTAGATAGTGAACTGTAAACGACTAAAACAAAAATGAGGGGAAAATTGAGGGTAAAAAAGACAACAAAGCAAGAGAAAATGGACTTGCCCGGACAAAATCCAGATCCTTCCCAATTCCCATGTGATGAGTCTGATACCAAATCCTACAGTTCTTAACCCCTTCCACTCCAAAAATTCCCCCTACTTCATACCATTAACTAATAAACTTTTACTTTTTTTCTTATGAAATAAATATTTCATTACAGGTATCAAGAAGATGCAAATTAGTTACACCATTAATTCATAAATTTCATGGACTGCCCTAGTACAAAAGTGTAACAAGTTACCATTAGAACAATAAGCAGAAAAAAATTCACATAATTTCCTTCGCAATGAAACCAGTCGACTATATTTGGGTAAATCTCTCTATTTTCAACTGTAGCAACTTCTGGAATTCCAGCATTTGAAAAGACTATATTACTGTAATCTTGTAAGTTGCAACATAAGAGATTTTTTTTATCAAACGAGTAAAGTTATACTTGACTAATGTATGTGAGGTTAAATCAGTATTAGTAACTAGTTATTACGTCTAAAAACAATGTAGGATTTGTATAAATATTGGAAATGCAAGAAAGACTTGTGGTAAACACACGACAAAAAATAAAACAATTTCTACTTGCACTCTTCTTCCTTTCCTTGGTTTGATGCAATTGAGCCGAGGGTCCATCGGAAACAGCCTCTCGCCTCTCTACCTCCATGAGGTAATGGTAAGGTCTGCATACACTCTACCCTCCCCAGACCCCACTTAGTGGGATTTCACTGGGTATGTTGTAGTTTCTACTGGCAATGTTGAAAGTACATAGTGTGGGACTACATTGTCCTTTCTCTTAACGCTGACATGGAAGAGTTCGCTCAAACCTAATGTTAAATATTAGGCAAATGTGCTGAATATCATGTGTGTAAGTTCTGCAGAACAAGTAACTACTTTTTTTAGTTTTTTTTTCAAGTGACTACTACCTTTTTCATTCAAAACGACAATCTAATAGGAGTACGTAGAATGCTCCCTTTGCTCAATTACAAGATGCTTTACGACAAGCTAAAGAAAATAAAGGGAAAAAAGTACTTATAGATTCATGCTGACCTCCTACCCAATGCATCCAATGAAGAAAAATTTGTTCTCTAAAAGACAAATAGGAGTTCGAAGATCTTATATACGATGGTGAAAGTTTCAATATCGTCCTAAGCATCTTTAGTGTAGCAGTCGGTCTCTGATATGCAACAATACCTAAGATTACCTAATACATGTGAACGCTTCTGACTACATTTACCTTATATATGACTACTTTTCTAGTAAGCATCTAAATCTCAAGTATTCTTTCACCTCCCCAGTTGATGCTCAAGACTCAGAGAGTTTCACATTAGTTTTATTCACTCTTCCTCTCTTATTACCTACAATTAGCAAATCATAACCAAGATTAAGAGTTACAACTTCAATTGTTTCTGCACTCTTGTTTTTATTCTCTTCAGCAGACATCATCCAATGGTTATTCCTAGCTTGTAAAGTTGTACCCAAACTTTCTTTCCCTTAAATTCCCGATTGTACCTAATGCCTGGAGAGTTGTAATTTTGCCTTTCTGTTTCTGTTTTTATGCTTTCCCTGTTTGACTCCTCCTCTGCTTCGTTTACCTCACCCAATTGATAGGAACCATAAAGAACAACAAAAGTCATTGTGAAACTGGAGAAGGTTAGTAGACGTGTAAACATTGGTTTCAATCTAATTTACCGGAAATAGACTCTCTACCTCTAACATAGGGGTAAGTCTGTGTACACTCTACCCTCCCCAAACTCCACTTTGTGGAATCTAGGTATGTTGTTGTTATCATCCAACTGTGGAAACCATGATTCAAAAATATTATTTTTGTTTCCTTCTAACTGTTATTTTCCTTCAACAGTTTATGGATTCCCAAACTAGGATAAAAGAAACAACAAGAATTAAACTACGAGTAACTCATCAACAATACTTATCAAGAACTGAAGCATAGCTGAATAATTTTATATAGAAACCAATCAATGAAACTCTCTCTATGCACTTCAGCGATCTATTAACAAATCCAACAAAAAAAACGACGGAATTTTTTTATAAGAAAAAATCCAAAATGCCAACATTCGTTTAAAACTAGAAAAAAATGAAGAAAAAAAAAAGTAAATGATATTTGATTAAACAAATCATGGTTCACCGTTAAGAAACAAGTAGAAAAAGAACCTACCCTCTCACCAACGCAACGAGATTTTGTTGTTGGTAGCAATGGCTTCAATAGGAATCTCCACTGCAGACAAAATTACTGTAAATATGAAAATTGCACTGTTTGAGTACTCCGTAAAGAAACAAAAAAAAAAAAGCAAGAAACAGAGTTCAGTCTCTTTACCCGATTTCACTTTCTCTACAGGTGTATTTTTTAGAGAGAAAAATAACAAACAAGGCTATTGTTTGAAATTTTGTAACTTTTCTTCAAGAATACCATAAATTTAAAAATAAATCAGGAAAAAACCCTAGATAGAAGTGCAGGAAAAAATGAATGGAATGGAAGAGATCAGTGGCTGACCCGAAGAAGAAAAGTAAGAAGAAAAGAAAAGGATAAAAAATCCCAAAACTGAAATAAGAAAAAAAAAATAGAGCAACTTTCACATATAGCAAACACAAAATTCATATTTGTATGTTATAACAAAGTTTGCATAATTGCGCTCCATAGCAAACATATATATGTATAATTCGCTATACATATGCAAAAAAAAAAATAGTTGTATAATCTACTTTGGTATACATATACAAAAAGATCAATTGTATAAAGTGAGAGAGACGAGTGAGAGAGCGAGATCTGGGAGAGGGGAGAGAGGGGAACAAAAATATATGTATATATACAATTTTCACGCATTTTATACACTTGCGTTTTTGTATAAAGTGAGAGAGGCGAGTGAGAGAGCGAGATATGGGAGAGTGGCGAGCGAGATCTAGGAGAGGGGAGAGAGGGGAGAGGGGGGAACGAAAATATATGTATATATACAATTTTCTCTCGCTTTATACAAACACAAACACATTTTATACAATTTGCGTTTTTTGTATAAAGTGAGAGAGCGAGAT